CGATTGGCTAGAGCGGACCCATATGCGCACAGTGACGCACAGCAGCAGCAGCGGGAGAAGAGGAAATGAGTGAGGACGAAAACAACGAACAACTTGTGCCCAAAAAAAGAACAACACTTCTGAAATATGGGACTATTTCGGCGAGAAGGAGAGAAGACGTAGCACAGACACAGGTACTGTGCAAGTCATGTCGGAAAATAGTGGCAACGTCGAGAGGAAACACAACAAATCTACACAGTCACATGGAGCGGAACCACAAAAACCTATATGATGTCTTCAAGTCTAAAACTCCCAAAACTACTAACGTGAGGGCAGGTTACAAAAAAACGATCCACAGACAACCATTAATGAACGTTTTGCCAGTGTCACTCCTTACGAAAAAACATCGAAGCGCCACAAAGCTATTACCGCAGCTGTTGCACGTTATGTAGCCAAATGCATGATCCCAGTTAGTACCGTGGGCAAAGAGGGCTTTTTGGATCTAATGAAGGAAGTGGACCGGAGATACCAAGTGCCATCGCGCAATTACTTCTCCCAAGTCGCCATTCCACAAATCTCCCAAGTCGCCATTCCACAAATGTACGAGGTATGTGTAGTGACTGTAAAGGCTGAGCTGCAGCAAGTGGACTTTTACGCTAGCACCACGGACCTGTGGTCCAGTCGCACCACCGAACCCTACATGAGCTTTACTGTTCACTTTATCAGCAAAGACTTGAACTAACAACACGCTGCCTGGAAGTTGCATATTTCCCTGAATCCCACACCAGTGAAAACATAGCCACTGCTCTGCAGGATGTTTTAGCAAACTGGGGCTTGAAAGAAGAGAAACAAGTGTCTATTACAACAGACAACGGCGCTAATGTAGTAAAAGCTACCGAACTCAACAAGTGGGTCAGACTACAGTGCTTTGGCCACCGCTTGCATCTGGCCATTGGTGAGTGTTTATGGTTTATATTTTGTTGAAAAATGCACATATTTAACATGAGATTTGTAAATTTAACATAATGTGTGATTTGAAATAATTTGATGACTATGAAGCTCTTAATTGTTTTGTTTCATTAGAGTGACAGTTGAAATAGTGATTTAATTTAATAATGCAGTGTTATTTCAGCCTAAATTATACAATTGTTTTTCTTTTGTTTTCTTCCTCTACAGAGAATGCTGTTAAAGGTGATGAGCGCATTACTCGAGCTGTAGGTCTTTGCAAGAAGTTAGTGGGACATTTCTCCCACAGCTGGAAGGAGAAGATGGCACTGAAAAAGGCACAGCAAGATCACCACCTCCCAGAGCACGCACTCATCACAGAATGTCCTACTAGATGGGGATCCAGGCAACACATGATTCAGAGAGTTCTTGAGCAGCAGAAGGCCATATGTGAAGTTTTATCAGCAGACAGAAAGTCAAGACATTTAGTTCCCACTTGGCAAGACCTAGATGTTCTGGAGTCCATTAACCAGGCACTGCAGCCTCTACAAGAGTTCACAGATGCCCTTTCTGCTGAAAGAGATGTGAGTGTTTCATGTGTCAAACCGGTCCTACACGTGATGAACACCTCTCTTCTTGCTGCAAAGGACGAAGACAGTGACTTAACAAAGTGCATAAAGAAAAAGATCCTGGACTACATGAACACAAAGTATGACAACCCAGCTACTCAAGAACTTCTGGACATGGAATCCTTTGTGGATCCCAGATTCAAAGCTGGCTACATCAGCAGTGACAAGGTCCTCAACATCAAAGCAAGAGTGATGTCTGAAATTGAAGC